GATCCCTGCAGCAAACACTCGTGTCTGCTAGTGTCTGCTCCTGAAGCTTTCAACGAGCGAAGGGCCTCCATGATGGCCGGCGGGCTTCGGGAAATCGGTTCTACTGCGAATGCACGCGAAAGCCGTCATGTGTCCTCACCAACTCGTCCATATCTCCCTAGCACATCCAGCGGGATATCACCGTTGAACACCCGGCCTCAAACAAATGTCGGCTGCCGCCCTCGGAGCGCTGTCCTGTAGGGCGGCCGTGGAAAGCCGACATCGCACCCTGGGCAGGCCGAGAGAAGGAGGCGGAGAAGACGGGGAAGACGTGTGGAACTGAACAGAGCATCGGTTGACGGATCCCTGCAGCAAACATTCGTGTCTGCTAGTGTCTGCTCCTGAAGCTTTCAACGAGCGAAGGGCCTTCATGATGGCCGGGGGGCTTCGGGAAATCGGTTCTACTGCGAATGCACGCGAAAGCCGTCATGTGTCCTCACCAACTCGTCCATATCTCCCTGGCACATCCAGCAGCATGCGACCGCGCAAGATCCGGCCTCACACAAATGTCGGCTGCCGCCCTCGGAACGCTGTCCTGTAGGGCGGCCGTGGAAAGCCGACATCGCACCCTGGGAAGGCCGAAAGACGGAGCCGGAGGATACGGGGAAGACGTGTGGAACTGAACAGAGCATCGGTTGACGGATCCCCGCAGCAAACACTCGTGTCTGCTAGTGTCTGCTCCTGAATCTTTCAACGAGCGAAGGGCCTCCATGATGGCCGGGGGGCTTCGGGAAATCGGTTCTACTGCGAATGCACGCGAAAGCCGTCATGTGTCCTCACCAACTCGTCCATATCTCCCTGGCACATCCAGCAGCATGCGACCGTTGAAGATCCGGCCTCACACAAATGTCGGCTGCCGCCCTCGGAGCGCTGTCCTGTAGGGCGGCCGTGGAAAGCCGACATCGCACCCTGGGCAAGACGAGAGAGGGAGGCAGAGGAGACGGGGAAGACGTGTGGCACTGAACAGAGCATCGGTTGTCGTGTCTGCTAGTGTCTGCTCGTGAAGCTTTCAACGAGCGAAGGGCCTCCATGATGGCCGGGGGGCTTCGGGAAATCGGTTCTACTGCGAATGCACGCGAAAGCCGTCATGTGTCCTCACCAACTCGTCCATATCTCCCTAGCACATCCAGCAGCATGCGACCGCGGAAGATCCGGCCTCACACAAATGTCGGCTGCCGCCCTCGGAGCGCTGTCCTGTAGGGTGGCCGTGGAAAGCCGACATCGCACCCAGGCCGAGAGACGGAGCCGGAGGAGACGGGGAAGACGTGTGGAACTGAACAGAGCATCGGTTGACCGATCCCTGCAGCAAACACGCGTGTCTGCGAGTGTCTGCTCGTGAAGCTTTCAACGAGCGAAGGGCCTCCATGATGGCCGGGGGGCTTCGGGAAATCGGTTCTACGGCGAATGCACGCGAAAGCCGTCATGTGTCCTCACCAACTCGTCCATTTTCTCCTAGCACATCCAGCGGGATATCACCGCGGAAGATCCGGCCTCAAACAAATGTCGACTGCCGCCCTCGGAGCGCTGTCCTGTAGGGCGGTCGTGGAAAGCCGACATCGCACCCTGGGCAAGACGAGAGAGGGAGGCGGAGGAGACGGGGAAGACGTGTGGAACTGAACAGAGCATCGGTTGACGGATCCCTGCAGCAAACACTCGTGTCTGATAGTATCTCCTCCTGAAGCTTTCAACGAGCGAAGGGCCTCCATGATGGCCGGGGGGCTTCGGGAAATCGGTTCTACGGCGAATGCACGCGAAAGCCGTCATGTGTCCTCACCAACTCGTCCATATCTCCCTAGCACATCCAGCAGCATGCGACCGCGGGAGATCCGGCCTCACACAAATGTCGGCTGCCGCCCTCGGAGCGCTGTCCTGCAGGGCGGCCGTGGAAAGCCGACACCGCACCCTGGGCATGACGAGAGACGGGGGCGGAGGAGACGGGAAAGACGTGTGGAACTGAACAGAGCATCGGTTGACGGATCCCTGCAGCAAACATTCGTGTCTGCTAGTGTCTGCTCCTGAAGCTTTCAACGAGCGAAGGGCCTCCATGATGGCTGGCGGGCTTCAGGAAATCGGTTCTACGGCGAATGCACGCGAAAGCCGTCATGAGTCCTCACCAACTCGTCCATATCTCCCTAGCACATCCAGCGGGATATCACCGCGCAAGATCCGGCCTCAAACAAATGTCGGCTGCCGCCCTCGGAGCGCTATCCTGTAGGGCGGTCGTGGAAAGCCGACACCACACGCTGGGTACCGCGAGCGGGGTTGGCGAAGGGGGTGTGGCAGACGTCAGGAAGTGTACAGCGTTCGGTGATGCGTGTTTGTCACGGTTAGGACGAGCGAAGAGACCCCGGGACAAAACGCTGGACATACACAAAGATTCACGATTCTCGAACAGAAGCAAGCAATGTTATCCTGCCTATTAGCACACGAACGTGGGGCCGAACGGTTCACGGTGGTGAACGCTTGCGGTCAAGGGGTGAAAATGTACGAGTTGGGAGGCCTTGACTCCCTCGATCTCCTGCCCTGATGCGATCATGCCCGCCCCATTTCAGTAGGTGTGGTTGAACACTAGGGCAGTTTCCTTACCACGCAAAGACCTACCGCCAATCCCCCAAGAAACCACCACACTGGCTTTGGTGGCGCTTTCCAAGCCCACGCCGCTCAACAATGGCCGTGGTCATCCAGTCGTTGTGGCGGAGGGTAGTGCTCCTCGGAACAACGCCGAGTATGAACCAGCGCATGCTGAGGTACCAAGGGCGTCTTGGTATCTGTATTGCACACATGCGAATACAGCGCAGCAGCGGACGGCGTAAGGAGAGGGAAAACAAACATGAACGAAGAAGCAAGGAATATAGAAGAATGGCGGTCCAAAAGTACTGGTTGGGGACGGGACGCGGGGTGGGCGATGAGAAATCGGGTATTTGCACTTGCACCTGTGGTGGTGTACCACTAAAGACATGGATTGGATGGAGTTCGATTTTGTCCTTTGCAGGCATGCTGCTTGTGCCTTCGGAAAAGAAGACCAACTCTACACATCGGCAGCAGTCTATGCGGCATACAAAACGCCTTGTTTGACGATCAAACACACACAACTTTTCCCATAGTTTCGATCTACAACACACGATACAAGCCGTCGCCCTCTGCGTGCAAATTTCTTCTACTCTCGTTTTAGAGCACACGAAGGTATTTTTGAAAAGCGAAATTCAAACGACAGCGCTGGGTCCACTCCGTGCTGGTACGGCCAGACACCTCACCTGCCCCCTTCTCCGCCCCCAGACTCGTCGGACACTCTGCGGTTTGGCCCTGATCAGGCCGCACACAGGGCGCGCGGTCACCCACGCTTGCCTTGCGACCTCCCTCAATCTCGCCCCTTCCCTTCCCCCTCTCGCCCCCGGAGCGGTACAAAATGGTGGCACACGCTCATGACAGCCCACATTTACCCCGACCGTGCGACGTGCCCCCTCCGGCGTTTCCGGGGCTCGGAGGGAGCTTCGAAACTACGACTCTGCCTTCAGTCTCGCGCCTCCCTACGACACAGCACACGCACGTTCGTTGTCCGGACACGAACTTCCGCCCTCACGCTCAGCGCACACACGCAGAGGTGTACGACAAAAGCGCAATACCTAAAGGGGTCAAACCAGCCAGGCTCAGAGCCTACCTCGTCGTTGGGGCGTTTGCTCTCGATGTCGATCTTGCATCGACAAGGACTGCCCTAGGCTAGGCGTCACACCCTAGAGAACAAGCCATCTAGGGCTGCTCGGTTCTTCCTCGACGACACGCGAAAAGAAGAAAAATACAGCAAGTTTGGTCTTACGCCCCCGCCACAAAATGGACCGCTGCCAAACGTCCCCCCCAAAACCGTAGAGCAGATGAGAAAGGCGCTTCTGCTGACGTCGCTGCATGATATGAAACCAAAAACAACATGGCTTCTAACAGCTAGCAGCCGAACGCGCCCCTCATTCACAAAATAATCGACCGCAAGCCGTTATGGACCAATGACTTCGCGCACCAGGCTAGAAAAAGAACGAACACCCACGAGCTCACAAGAAAAAAAAATGTAACCCGTGCATGCGCCTGCAGACAATCTGTTGGATGCCGCAACGAAATAAATACAGGGGCGGTAGCGTGCGGCGGGGCGGACGGAGGGCGGCGGTGATTGTCAATACTCTGGGCTGGGAACCACACGAAGTTACCGCTGCGGTTGAACCCGAACGTTTTTTCTGAGAACTTGCAATTCCGAAGACACGGTTTTCTATGGAGTGGGCAACACGACGGTCGTCTAGCGCAAAAACAGTGCTGGGCAAGTCAATTATTCTACTGATGTTAAGCTAGCAGATCGTACTTGCACTACCCTGTGGTATCCACACAGTCAAATGGTTCACCCACTTACAAGAAAGCTCACCGCAAACATCACAAACTCTCTGTACCCCGGTCCACCTAGGGGTTGGCGTCGGTGGCGGGACCGACGGCGAAGGTGGCGAGGGCGGCGAGGGCGGTGTCGGCGGCGGTGTCGGCGGCGTCGGTCGGGCCGGCGGCGAGGTCAGCGGGGGCGGCGGCGGGGGGGGCGGCGTCCGCGACGTTGTCGGCGGCGGCGGGAGCGGCGTCGAAGGCGTGGAGGATGTCGGGGTCGGCGGCGAAAATGCCGAGGATGGCGGCGGCGGCGGCGGCGGAGTCGCGGGGCGGCGGTGGGGGTGGGGGCGCCTCCCCCTGCCGCACCCTGGGTGCCCACCCTTGCTCCTCCCATGTCTCCCATGTCGCCGGCGGCCGTGGGGGTGGGGGCGCCTCCCCCTGCCGCACTCTGGGTGCCCACCCGCGCTCCTCCCATGTTTCTCATGTCGCCGGCGGCCGCGGGGGTGGGAGCTCCTCCCCCTACCGTGCGGTGGATGCCTTCCGCCGCTCCTCCCATGTCTCCCATGTCGCCATAGCCCTCCAGCCAAGATCCCGGCCTCACCGACCCTCCGCCCGCGTTCCCAGCACTCTGCACCGCCCCCGCCGCCCCCGCCGCGGCGATCCCTGTGGCCTGAAAGGGATCACGAAAGCGAGGCATCGCAAGGTCAAGTTCGGCACCGCGCAGTGACATGAAACTGGAGGGAGGGGAGGATCGCTCAACCTTGTTTCGTGTGAGGAGATTCGTGAGCCAAAACATCGCAAAGGACATCGCGAAGGTGCTCCGAAGTCTGAAGGCAACAGAAGGAGACGTTTCACTGAACGATTCCTCGTCAACGCTGCTTCTGCACGAATACTGCGCCGTTCGTGGCGTTGCTTACCGTGTCCTCCCGCCCCCCCCCGCCTTAACCTATACGCACCGGCTCGACACTCACCGTCCCTGCCCCGCCGCCCGCGGCGATCCTTCCCGCCGACCCGGTTGCCGCTGCCCTACCTCCTCCACCGAACGCTCTCTGTCCGCCGCGCGACCTCTTCGCCTCCCGACCCGAGCTCTCGACGCCTGCTAGCGTCTCCGCCGACCTCTTCTTCCCCCTCGACCCCGCCGGGCCGGCTCCCCGGTCCGCAGCCTTGCCAGACTTTCCTCCCCGGCGACCCGCCGCGCTGATGCCCAGGGCCACAGCCTTGCCCGACCCTCCACCGCGGCCGCGGCTCTCGCCGCGCGCCTTCTTCGGCGCCGGGCCCGAGACCGCCCTCCCTCCCGGGAAGCCCCTCTTCCTGCTGCCCCCGGAACCGTTCTCCTCACCTACTCCCGCGGGCGTGGCGTCGGTCGTGCACGCAGCCCTCGCGGCGATCCGCGTGCTGCGCCTCATCGGCTCCGGTCCCTGCGCCGCGGCCGGAGTCGCTCCCTGCGCGGACGGGGCCGCTCCCTGCGCGGCGGCGGGCTGGGCCGCCACCGACGATGACACCACGGATTGGCATGCTCGGAGTGCCCGCAAGACCATGGCCATCTCCGCCGCCGAAGGCACGCTGTCACCACCGCTGCCGCCGCCACCAGACTCCTGCAGAGCTCCCGTCCGCGGGGAGGTCGTCCTCAGGCTCCCGCTGCCATTCTGGGCCGCCACCGCTGCCACCGCTGAACCTTCCATGTCGGCGTCGTCCTCAGCCGGGTGTCCTCCGCCGCCCGACCCTGATCCCGCCCCCTCCGAGTCAACCCCCGGCATGGTGACAGCTGGGGAGGCTGAACCTTCCGCCTCAGCGCCTCCGTCTCCCTCAGCCGGGTGTCCTCCGCCGCCCGACCCTGATCCCGCCCCCTCCGAGTCCACCGTCGGCATGGTGGCAGCTGGGGAGGCTGAACCTTCCGCCTCAGCGCCTCCGTCTCCCTCAGCCGGGTCTCCTCCGCCGCCCGACCCTGATCCCGCCCCTTCTGAGTCCACCGTCGGCATGGTGGCAGCTGGGGAGGCTGAACCTTCCGCCTCAGCGCCTCCGTCGCCCTCGGCCGGGTCTCCTCCGCCGTCCGACCCTGATCCCGCCCCCTCCGAGTCCACCGTCGGCATGGTGGCAGCTGGGGCGGACTTGCCCAAGCTCACAGCGTCTCCCTCGGCCTGCTCCGCCTCGTTGGGGTTGGCAGAGGGGGGGGATGCGCTCGGGGGCTGGAAGAGGCCTAGGAGGCTAGCCGCAGCGCCTACGATGTCATTGTCCTCCTGTCGAAGGTGCGACGTAACGGCACGCGTTTGACGCACGGCGTTGGGAGAGACCGGAGGGAGCGCGAGCGCACGAGCGTGGAGACGGGAGCGCGGGAGGCGATTGAGCTCCGAACAAAAAATAAGAGAGACAAGAGGACAGTACAACAGACGCGATCGGTGGGGACGGCGGGCGCCCGGCGCCCGCTCACTTCGTTGTCACTCACTCAAACCAGCACCGTGCGCCAGACTATACCCTTCCGTCCGTCGCCGCCGGCTAGTTCTTTGGACCAGGTCTGTCATCGCCATACCCCATCGGATGTGAAGCAGGCATTCCTGTCATGCTTCGAAATCGACACATCCGCATGCGTCAAGCACTGAGCGCCTGAAAGCACAGCCCAATGCAATGGTGTTGACCAGGGTTGTTGCCCCTGCGCCTTCTGCCGCCACCGCTGCAGAGAACTGCTCTGCAACCGCGCGTGTTGCTGTAGCGCTCCCTCCAAACCTCGGGCGTAAGGAGGCCACACTCAAAGTGCCCTCACCCTAAACAATCTGACTGTACACGTAGTACAAGGCATCCGACCGTCTACTTCGCAAATCTATGAAGCGTCTATTCTCACGTTATTTCCGTCCTCCGTGTCGGCCGACCCGCCTTCTCCTCCTTCGGCTGTCGCCCCTGGCGCTACACCGTTGTTCCCCTCCTCGGCGTCGGCCGCCCCGCCTTCTCCTCCTTCGGCAGTCGCCCCCGGTGCTACGCCGTTGTTCCCCTCCTCGGCGTCAGCCGCCCCGCCTTTTCCTCCTTCGGCAGGCGCTCCCGGCGGTACCCCGATCAGGCTCAGGGAAGCCGTGGCGCTAACCAGATTGTCGACGCCGTCGTGGTCGAGGTCGTGGTCGTGGTGGTGGTGGTGGTGGTGGTGGTCGTCGTCGTCGTCGTCGTCGTCGTCGTCGTCGTCGTCGTCGCCTTTGTCGTCGTCGTCGGCCACGTCGGCGGAGGGGGAGG